TTCCCGGGATTTAACAGAAAATTAACTATTTATTGTTGTGTACAAAATTAATTGTTCATTATTATTGTTAAATCATTAGTTTAATAAAAGATAATATAAACCTTAGTATCACAATTATTGGCACAATATTGTCCAAATATTATTTAATCAACGTTTAATCAATATATTAATAAATAAATTAATTGCTACTAAGAAAACGATTATTTTTTATGTGATCGACATAAAATATGTTCTACATATGATAGACTCGAATTAAGTTATATGCAGTCATTTCTTAACTAGATGGAATCTTAATTAAAATCGAACTTAAGTATAAATTTGGATTAAGAATATCGCCCTATAAGATCAACCGTTCGCTAATCATCAGAAAACTTGGCAAAAATTAATGGGGATCCAACTCAACGTCAATAATTAATTCGCATTTTACAGTAATTTCATATTATAAGTACAATCAATTAACGTTTATGGATTGTTGATTACAATTAAATCATATCTGTGCGGAAGTCGGATATACAATGTATAGTGATAGTCAAGTATCTTGACAATTTAACATGCTCTAATTCGTTGAAGAAATATACGCAACGCTTGCATTTTTCGACGATCTTTAACTCGTTTCCCGTTTCACGCTATAAAGCATCATATATAGCAAGACGCTAGTTGCTATTATAGACTTTGACTACTAAATTTAATTAGATTATTTAGAACCATCATACACAAAATTACATAAGTAAAGCATAAGGCCCCTAAACCGATGAGCATCTTATGTAAATTGACCGGAATCGCCGTTATTTCATCGGCGAGAGCCATGAAATCAGAAGAAGAAAATCTTATGTAAATCAATGGCATCTTTATGTCGGATGCTTAGTCTAGGGGCCTTATGTTATGGTTATGCAACTATGGCATGTCATTTTGTATGTGATGGCCCTTACTCAGCAAAAAGAAAAGCATGAAGAAAAATTTATGTAACTTCCTGTCTCCAGTTCAATCTTTCTTTCCATCCGTACATTACAAGCTGAATTATATTCTATCTATGTTAACAAAACAATACAGGTCTGCTTGATAATCGCCGATTAAGTTAATTAAAGTTCGATTAATAATACAAAGTCTATAAAACCTATTCTACAACGTGTTCTTTTTGTTTCTTGCTGCTGACTTTTTACCATTTTTTACATCTTGCCTTTTCGATTCTTATTCTATTTTTTTCATTTTTGTCCGAGATAAAAGTTAAATTTTGAAAGAGACAATTAGAACATGAATGTCCATAAAATGGTCGCAACTATAGAAAAAAGAGCAAAAGATAAAAGTCTGTAGATTAGGTTTAAATGTTGTTCAGAGTGAAATAAGAATAAACCACCCGGGTTTAAAAATGTATATATAATTATATAAAAATATATATAATTTTATATAATTGTATATAAATGGACATAATTTTATACATAATTGTATATAATTATTTATATTTATATAT